GGAGACCATCCACAACTTATTGAATAAACCAACGCTTTGCAGTAGACGGATAATAGCCATGACAGTGGCAGAACTCTGGAACATCAAAAGCCGGAAATCCTGACGGTCTTACCCGACCCGCCGGAAATGGGTCTCGAAGAAATCCCTTTCCCGCGGACGCCAAGGCGAAGGAGCTATAGAGATTTCAACGCTACTGAAGGCTGCCGTGACAGTTCTGAGCCTACAGCCGAAATCGAATTTCCTATGATTGATCGACGATGCAGCCGACAGAGATGTGGAAGGGCAAATGGTGCCGCATTTTGAAGGGCAGTGAATAAACTGAATGACGACATTTAGTTCGGATAGAAGTTTTTGCACAGTCCGGGAACGAGTTATTTTAGAGAAATATGTATTATTTGACATTTTCCCTTGTCTTCATGTTGCAAATTGACATTCGAATTCGGAAAGATATTTTGTTAATACATACAGTCCCGTTCGGAGGCAGTACACTTAAAGAGTTTAGATATATGTTATGCCTTGTTTCAAGTGCGGACTTGATGCTAGAGTTATTTTATTCCATTGTTACATGAAATTTCATTGACACTGTGCTGTTTTCATTCTGCAGAGTGGATGGACTGTTCTCATCGCTGCGTCGTACAATGGTCAAACTGAAGTTGCCAGCCTGCTTATCGACTACAAAGTTGATGTGGAGTCCAAAGACGATGTGCGGCACAGTCTACTTGAATTGATTTTTATGGATACACGTGCTTACAAAAGTCTGCATTCATTGTCTCAGTCTAACGCTCGCCACTGGAAATCGACTCACTGAATCCAATCCGTTTGCCACCAACGGCCCAACCTCCTTCGACGTCACCCAATTGCGGCGTCGCAGGGGACTGCGGCTTCGCAGGCCCATGACCCATGGCGTTGGTAAGGGAAGTGGGAGCCTCGCCGTCGCCCTCCCCCTCCTTCCCCCCTCCCCGCATACCCCCCTTTGTGGCAAATCCTTCCGACGCTGCTGACGCACCACCTCCTTCCAAACCTTCCCTGCGACCCCCCCCCGTGCGACGTCCCAGGAAATTGGGCCCTATTTACCCTTTGCAAGATATGCCGCTCATGGGAGTCCCACCACTGCTGCTGCCACAGAAAATCGTAGTGCAAGGCGTAGATTCATTTTCACATGATCTCGTCCCGTGGCGGCCACAGTAGTTTCATCTAATGACTGTGAGTTTTCATCGGCGGCATTTTCCTAATGACGCGACGTTTCGATCTGATGATAAATCAGACCTCGTGGAGTAATTTCAATGTCTGGTGTGCCCAAAATCACCATGCTTTGTTCTTTTCTGTGTATTGCAAAGGGGGATTGGACAGCGCTTCATGTGGCTGCAAGAAAGAATCATCGCGAAACTGCTCAGCTTCTGCTCGAGAGGGGAGCCGACATAAAGGCTGTAACTCTGGTGAGGGCACTGCCTAACTGTTGAGAAAATAAATTTCCGCGCAAGATGCACTGAGGGAAGGCATTATGTCGATTTTGATACGTTAGAATCAAATTAACGCAAAGCAGGGGGAGCAAGCTGTGACGCGAAGAGATTCCGTTATTGCAGCAAAATTGACGTAAGGAGGGAAGGTGCCCAAAAACGCCACCTGTGAGCAGCAAACAACCCGCGACTTGTTCCTAAACCTCCTGTAAATGATAAATCTTCAAAGAAGGCTATAAGCTTTGTTTTCTTTTGCGTGTTTGATTAACTGTCATTTGAATGTCACACATATGAAGATGGAAAAATGTAATATACAGTAAATAATTCGGCCTTATGTGCATGATCCTCGCTTGATAGGAAATCACTAGCATGACATTCTACTGGACGGATAGCACCGAAATGGATAAGTTATTTTGAAAAAAATGGCTAATGGTCGTCAGAAAAAGCTGAGTATCCTGGACGCACATATCCTCCATATGCGCATTTCCCAGGAAACCCCCGCCCATATCCCGGAATATGAACATATCCTCTCCCATATGCTCGCCACGCCCCAGTATATAGCAATACCCTCGTCCCACATCCTCACCATATCTGAGTACATGAGCGCCCATATCATATTAAGTATCCAGGATATGAGGCCCCATTTTTGATTTTCCATCTCCAGTATATGGACCTTTTTGCCGACAATGGTGCCTTCATGCCAACCTGTCAAACAAATGTTCTGGTGACAATGTAACGTGGCTGCCGTTTCCATCAGTAATCGCATAGGTCAGGTCACCAAGTTCTTTTCACAATGTGACAGAGCTCTCCTTAAATATTGGCTAATTTCATTCATCATGACTGGAAATCAGCCATTGCTTTGAGAATACTCCCATCATGACAATTGCGTTTAAAATGAGGAGTGCAGTTATCCGTTCTGCATCTTAACAGTCATTTCCATGTGTCTTATACGTACCTGTACTCATGTGGGTATTTCTTTTCCTCGATGTGATTTTTGAACTTTTTATACGGACACCAGGAGCAAATGGCCTTTATGTTTGCCCAGGATAACCAAAGCACAGCGCTGCACCTGGCCGCTGAAAAGGGCCACAAGAAGACGATGGGCCTTCTTTTGAGGAAGGGGGCAGACCACACGAGTCAAGACGCTGTAGGAGCAGCACGCATACCACCACCCCAGCATTATGTTCGAGAGAAAGATTGCATTGAAGTACAATACTCGAATGCTATCATTCAGTTCACTTGCTTATTGCAAATACTGTTCTATTTATTTGCTTGTCTATTTTGGTTACACGAGTAGGAAACACATAAGATAAAATAGTCAGTATTATTACACCAGCACCAGCATCAAGAACTTGCACTGAATAAATTGATGTTGAACGCGGATTCCTACACATAAGTTGCTGAAAAAAATGCTGTTGGCTGTTTCAGCTCGACCTAAAGCCGTTCATGAACCGTGGCCTCATTCCTGGTATATGCCGATGCCACGAACGATAAGAAGGGTAACTAGAGATTTGTGGCATTCATAAACAACATGAACATCACAAGCAGATATTCCAGGCATCTTGCAATTTATTCAACAATCCTCTCGGCCTCGTTACCGCGTTGATGTGCAAGGCAAAGAAGACTGGGAGAGTCAGACAGGAGAGAAAGACGCAGCCGCTGTGTATTAAGAAAGGGCCTAGGGCAACCTCCACTGGAGTCCCAGCTTGTGGGGGAATTTCTAAATGAGATTCCCTTGAATCGCATTTTCATTCCCAGCTCATTAATCCCAATTACCAGGGATTCTGTCATAATGGATCCGCTTTTGATCCCACTCGCGTCGAGGAATAAGGTAAACTTTACATACTACATACTACATACAACATACAACATACTACATACAACATACTACTTACAACATACTACAAGATCTTTTGAATCGTATTTCACACAGTATATCTTTGGAAGTCAATTCAAGGAATTTGAATTGTAAAAAATATGAATCATCAGAAGTGGACGATTGCAAATTAAGCTTCACACCCTTTGGGAAGTTTGGGGGACACGTATATAGATGCCTTCATTTGGGCATGGGATGCATGAATCCAATAAAACTTCTGACTGTATGAGACATCGAGTGTAATGGCCACTCTTGTCAACTTTTGTTGTCCTTTACGTACATGAAAGTTTTTGTGTGCACTTTGTCAGAATCATGCGATCAGAATATCCCATGTTGTGGAAAGAAGCACAAATCATAATTATATATTCAACTTGTGTTCCTAGGGGAAGCATCCTTTTTCTTAGCTTCTGATCCCGTGCGAATCCCGATTCATGGAAGCGCGAATATACAAAATCGCCACCATATGTGTTTGTGAAACAAGCCAGGGAGCAATTGTAGGTGTCCGTGTTGCCAAGTTTGTAATTCCTATGATATGCTGCAATGTGCCTGGGTTACCATCATGTTCTCTATCTGCGCATCATGTAGGTCAACTCATTGAGCACAAGTGCCTGTATTTGGTGCCACATCATATCACGACTCTTCTTTGTCCCACTCAGTATTGAATTCAAATGACTCCCATGGCCGTGAACGTATGCAGGACGGAAATACTGCACTGCACTTGGCAGCAGAAAGGGGCCACATGGCGGCCGTAACTCTGCTCTTAAATGAAGGGGCTTCGCGGACCATCACGAACCATGTAAGTATGCATGCATTCCGCTTCTTTTGCAGTATCTCAATTTCTGACTTAATAAGAACAAATCGATTGAATTCGAATGTAAGGATTGCACTGCAATCAACACTGCATGATGACAAGGTGCACCCAGAAGCGTGCTTTTGGGTATCGCTCAAGGTATACTTGTGAGAGAGGTTTCGCAGTAGGATAATTTTGCTGTCAGGATATCATGACTCTTCACAACTATCTTGGATAAAGGCTGATTGGCGTAATGGGAATATTCCATTGCCAATTTTCGTTGTTACTAATAACAGCCTTTTCGAGAAGTTTATGTTGAGTACGTTGCCATTCTGGACAGATAAAATCTGAGTGCCGGGTATCCTTAACGGATACATCAGTAATATACGTTCGCAAGATGAAAGGTGCGTACAAAACTCGTATTTACAGAGAACCCCAGCCAAATGAACCTAAATTAAGGCACACTTTTCTGTCCCCTCAACATATTTCCCTATGGGACAAAATTCAGCCTCGTCGGGTCAAAGCTTAGTGCATCTAAAGTTCACGTAAAACACATTCTGATGCATTATATTTCAAATTCCGTGAATTTTGTGGTGACGAAAGTCTTGGTTATCAAAATGTGCAACTGGGCTGGACGGAATCCAAATGTAACTGCCCTAGATAGTTGCGCTGTCGCATTGTGTGGCAGTTGGATGCTGCCTCCCCCTGGTTGGTGGCACAAATACTGGGTCCTGTCTTGTGATTCATTAATTTGTAGGGTGAATCATTCAATGAATAATTGCTCCTTTCACTGTGGTGGTGCGGCAACAGGACGGGAAAAGGCCGGAAGACATTGCCTCTCTTAGCAATGTGAAAAGGTATATTAGGCAGTACCGACAGTAGGAGCGCAGCATGGCAAGCTGCTCATCCAGTAGTGTTGTTTGCTGTAGCTGATTGGGAAGCGATGAAACTTATGGGCAACAATAGTTTCAGTACGATCAATGGAAGAAATGGGAAAAAAATCACAGGTACAGTCGGTGGAATCCGAGAGAGTGTACCAGATGGGTTTGCGATTTGGAAAACTGTACTGTGGAATATACGGCACAGATATGTTTGGTTTCAATGAAGCGGCAGTTTGCTAATAGACGAAACGTCCCTGAAGCTGTTGTGGACGCAAGTAATCGAAGGATTCGGATGCTGCATGTATACTGGGTTGGTCCCGCTTTTTGAGATGTATCTTCCAGTATGTTTGCGAGCCATGTGCATCCCACTCGGGAAAAAAAAAGGGGCAAATAACACTTTTGCGAACACACGTAAAACACGTTTCATCAAAGTTCTGTACACTTAGAACACAATAATAGCACAAACCCGTAATCTTTGTACACGTTTGAGCACGTGTTATTTGGCCCTTTTTTTCCTAGTGACGGATCCGTGACTGTGCTATTTCCACGATGTGAAGTATTATATGAAGATCCTCGTACTGTTGCCATTGCTATAGATAAATGGCCAGCAGCTTGCTATTCCCACCCTTGTGGATGCAACAGGCCTGACTACTTAAGGGACTAATCAAACTGCATCCATATTAAAGCTTTGAGTATGCACATGTTATCACGCCTTTAGACATTGCACGGCATGTCAACCTAGAGATCCGGATTGTCAACCCCTGTTTCATGTTGACAAGTCAATATGAAACAACTGGGACTGACAAAGTATGTCCCATGGAGAGGCCTTATAAGACACATATTATGAGGCGCACGTTCTCACACGTCGGCACGTACCCAATTCGGCGCGCGTTGCAGCCGGTATATTTTTGGTGAATATAGATTTTACGTAATAAGGAAACATTTGCCAACAACGTATTTCCGGTACAACAATAAATCAAGCGGAATGAAATTTCTCTTGAAGCATTGGACCGGCAAAATGTGGCTTGCGGAAGTCTCCTGGGCAATCGCATATCTTGCACTTACAGCATTGAAAATGCCAAACAGAAGTCCCAAAGGGGCAAAAGTTTTTTTACAGACATTCATAATAAATCATCTCTGGAATAATAATGAAATACACAAAGAGTAGGGTAAACTATTCTTAATGAACTTCAACTACACTTGCCACCATGTAATAGAATTTGCGCAACCTTCGGTAGACGTCACCTTCTGGAATGCATCTGCTTTGCCCACATTTATGAGACTATTTCCAATGTACTTGCCGCATGCCCATGCTTCGCTGTGTCGTATTCTATCGCTGAGGGGAAATATTTTGTATGAGTCCTGTAATCAGAGGCCTAGAGCCATGTAGTTTCACACAGTAAGTCTTGTTTTTCAAGAGAAATAAAAAAAATTAGGCACCTTGCGAAATGTCTCGTTCGCAACATCCATTGATTTGTGTCTGCGCGGACATTTATCAACATTACACGCGAAGGTAAGGAATTCTGGAGCATATGTGGCACGTGCAAACCCTCTAAAAGCATGCGCATACCCTCATAGAGCATGTGGCAGCTGCGGTGATCCTATCTACGAGAGGGAGCAACTTGACATCGCGCTGGTGAGCAAGCGCATCATTTTTAGACCTCGACTTCGCAAGTCAGGTGGTGAACACTTTGAGAGCCGTATGGGCACGCAGCATCTTGTACTTGGCGTTGAACCCACGGTATTCTGTAGAGCGTGGATGGGTTTGAAATCACGGTTGGACTGCGTACTTTGTTCTTATCGTGTCCTCATGCTTGCTGCCTATGTTCAAATCGGATTGCTTCTCCCTACCTGCACGTCGGGGGTTCGTGTGTCTTCTGTCTTGATGGAGAAGCAGTCATCTCACCCCTTACTCTTCCAGACCGACAACGCAGGACTGATGTGCGCAACAGTGGCGGAGCAGTGACCCTCCCTACCATGTGTTGTTCCTGCCTCCCTCAACAAGGGACTACAAGGTTCAGGATTCGGAATGCAGAAATTGCAATTCCCTTGAGGGGTAAAAACTTGTGGACAAATAAATTGGGCTAGCCGGCCGTGTAACCGCGGGAGTCCAGGTGCTGAGAAATGGAATGACTGAATATATTGGCGGCCTTCATGGTACGTTGTCACATAGCAACTGAGGAAGCGAATGTTTAGGTGATCCGTGAGAACTTTGATGGGGCAGATTGACATACCAGCACTCCGCGGTGATGCAATTACCAATTAGTATCATTTGGCTAAAGGCTTAGTGTTTCGATTCCAGACAAGGTTATGTATTCATTGTTTGCAGTTATCGCATTTTTGAGCCTGCAGGCAATGTTCTTATTCCGGATGCCGGCCCCACACATTTCATTGTATACAGCCTACTCTATCAGCCAGAAATTTGCACATCAAGTGCAAACAGCCGGGGTAAGTTCCCAAGTGCTGTACGCCTATCCGTGGTGATCGAGGGCGCCGCCCACAGGAGGGGAACAGTGACGCAACTTCCCATAAACGGTCCAGTGGTTCTCCCTATGAGCGACGACAGGGATGAAGAGGCCGACTATCGATTCTTGGAGCGCCTCAAGGAAGACACAGTCCTGGGCATAGAAAACTGCGGATACCGGTACCGCAATTATGACAAACCAGGTATTGGTAGTAATATATGACGTTATGCACTAGCAGATTCTGAAACCCGCATGGGTCCTATAGGAAAGCTTGTCCATCATTTATTACGCCAAAATTTGCCCTTTTGTACAAATTACAGTAATTTTGATTCAAGAAAATTCAATTTGTATGTGGCGAAATTCCATATCGATATGTTTTTGACCAATTTGACTGCACTTCTGTTATGTTGACCTTCGGCAATGCCCGTTCAATAAAGGCATCTGAAGAAAGATTGATTCAATCATGTTTTACCGGATGCCTATATAGAATAGAATACAAATGAATTGGGCGAATGGATTGCCTTTTGGAATGTTCAATGTTACAAATTGCGTGAAATTATCATGGACGCTGCATTACTTGGACAAAATGTGAAACTGCGGACTACCCCCTCCTTGTCTTGTTATGTAAAAGGGAATGATCAGGCTTGGCATTTACGCCGTACAAACGAATCGCATTTACGGATTTGCAACAATTTTTGCGTAAAAAGGCGTAAATACAAAGTAAATACAGCCCTGAGTACATAAGTACAGTACACACAGAGTTAGGTGTCCGAGGATTGGCAGCCAGCCGTCCTGGAATGGGCACAAAGCAACCTTTTGTTCCATGCCATCGTTGCCCTTGCTCGGGGCCAGCTGGACGCTGTGTTGTGGGTGCTTCAGAGCCAAGAGGACTGATTTTCAAAGTCTAACCTGGGTGCCACAACAAGCAGCAAAAACGTAAATACAGCCGTGAAAACACAGCTTTTGCAAATTTATGATTTTTGCGCGCAAATGGAAACGTAAAACCAAACTTGTGCGTGATGGTGATACGCAAACTGCAACGAACAATAAATAAGCAGCCGATGACTACTTCCTTGACTTAATATGCAATAGTTGTTGATGGCGATCGATGCAATGAAATCGATGCGGCTGTGAGCTCTTTCGCGCAGAAAATATGTCTTAAGAGGATTCAGTTCGCTTCTCGAGCATGTACGGACCGTATTTCAGAAGAAGTCGTACATTATGGATATTGCCTGCATTGGTTACGGCCGCCCATATGTACAAGACTGCAGCCTGAAGAGAGCAATATTCTTCAAGCAAATGCAGAGTATGGAGGCCCATATCCTGGATTTGAGATCGTCTATGTACAGGATATGCCGATCATATCAGAACCATATCAACATCCAGAACGTCGGACGCTTGCCCATTGTTTGGCGGATCCAGTACATTAAAAGCTTCCCAGAGGTTGTCACAGCATCCACGGACGCTTCATATGTGAAATCGTGTCGCATTCACAACGTCCATGCATGGCAGGCCGTCGCCTATGATGTGAACGTCACATTGCATGACGGCGTATGTATCTGTGCGTGGATCCATGCCAAGAACCTGCACTGTTGTTGAATGCCATCATACCATGTGCTAAGCCGCACCACGCGATTTGCGTGGGCGTCAAATACTGCAGGGAATATATGCAACCCCGATTCTCGCAGCGAAATCTTGTATTCAAGCGCGCTTGAAAGGACATTTTGTGCCTGCAGCCGCGTACGAATTGCACTCCGACTCCGATCTGTCCGATATGGAAAGAGAAATGGAGGCGTATTTGGATTCCCGGTCTGAGGAAGGCGCCGAGAACGGTGGCTGTGGAAATGAAACAACGGAGGCTCGTGGGTGTGATGTGCACGATGGCGATTTGGAGCCAATTCTGCATCTATGGGAGGACGACAGGGCTGCGTCAACCGTTTATGTTGACGACGACCTCGCATCCAGCAATGAGAGTCTGGATTTTCTCGGTGCGCTGGCAGCCAAATTCAATACATTGGTGAAGCACAGTTTTCTCGCATTCATCTTTTCTAGTTTTCTCTTTTTTGGGCGTGCGAGGCCCAGTAGTGAGAGTGGCCGCGGAAATGAAGATCATGGTGCCGTTGCACCTCCTCCTAAACCCATGTCTAGGGTGGGAAAGGTAGTCTAGTTGATGGCAGTGCAAGGCTGGTCCCAGATGGGACCTGGCAGCCATGTTCGTGAGGGGCGTAGGTGCAAAGAGCCAAAGGGAGATCATTACACAGTGTTTGAATGCCGTGTGTCGTCCACATCTGCGAGAGGTGGGCCTCCATGGGCCGTGGGCACAAGAGTAGAGGACAGAGATCGGCCAAACCTGTCGTTTCCGGATGTGAAGGTCATGGGAAGGGGTCGGGAATGTCATGAAGGTTACCATGAAAGTAAAAAACACTTAAGATACCCGAAAAATAGTCTTCATGTGATTTATTACCTTCATGTCCTGTAGTGAAGATCATCGGGTATTCGTGTGGCCAGTGCGCCAGGGTTCGTGGCGCCATTTCATATTTGTATTCTTTCGGTTCTCCACATTTGCCCGGACTTAGGAGAATCCTTTTCATCTCCGCCTCTCCGAACGGGCAAAACACAGCGCATCTGCGCGGAAAGGAAAACTTGTACATGAATTTCTTCCGAAGCAAAATACCACGCAATTTTGCGGACGTTGTGCTGTCAGAAAATGTAAGCTTGATAGATAGTCTGGATCTGTATGGAGGGCAACTCGATGGAGGCTATGTTTTTTCAGTATTAGAAACATATATCTCATGCTATGTCTCTTGCCAATCTTGTGTTTCAGACACCATCACACACAGGACATTTTCAGGTATCCCATCTACCAGCCGGGAGCCTTCCAAAGAAGCCGCTGCAGAATCGGTAGACCCGTTGGAAATCCCTTCCTCAGTGCTGATGCGCTCGCATGTGGTGGCAGACCGTCTTCTGAAAAAGGTACTGTGAAGTGAAAGATATGTCAGAACATCTGTGGAGATATCTGGCATGCCTGTTGAGGTACCTGGATCCAGATAGAAAAGTAGAGCTGACTGCTCCAGCGATATCCGCCAATCATCAAGATGAGTAGCGGAAAATTGCGACTCGGTGTGGCGAAGTTTCAAATATGAAAGAGATGGAAGAGATGGACAAACCACGGCAAGTGCAATTGCTGCTGCGACCCTTCATGATGAATTCTTTGTTCTATTCTCTGCCATTCACAAGACATGTAGACTGTGACAAATTTCCGGCAACTTCGTTAAGCAGGGCGGTCTTGGATAAAGCCAGAAAGGCAGTAAACATTCATTATTCCCGAGACACGCCCGATAACCAGCTTTTTTGGATAGTGGTTAAAAGAATTATCATTCTCTGGCACTCTTTTTCCCTCATTTGCCCAAAATTAAATGGAAATTACTGAGAAGTGTTGGGAAGCTATCTGACATCGTTCGCAGTGATCTATAATATAGCTCAGTGCAGTCGAGCAATCGCAAAGGAGCACAATGGATCTATTCACATATTTCATTTTTTTCCATTTCGGGGTTGTGGGTGGCGGTGGTGGTCAGGTAGGCGTGGGGGATGTGCAGGCCACGGAGGTGAGCTTCGTCCTTTCGGCCTCAAGGACATTCATTCCGCCATTCTGGCCCACTTCTTGCACATGATGTAATTTCAGTAGCAGGAATTTCAGCGACACTGCAAAGGTCCAGCTGCAATAATGGCGAACCAATAAACTAATCCAACGCCAAAGAAGCGACAATCACACCAGGACCCACCATGCGTTTTCGATGGCACTGCACATTTACTCCTCAACCTTTCCCGGTTTGCTAAGGTGCTGGATTTGAAGAAACACAGTCCTGGGGACAAGTCTCACGGGCCGTTGATCGGTCTCGAGAAGAAGCTGAACAACGCCAGGGAGCCACTCGGAAGCTGCTGGAACTTCGGTCCTGCTTACAGCATGATGCTCATGGAAGCCAGCAAATCTCCGCAGTGGAGCATGGGTCTCTCTGAATGTGAAAAAATCGAAAAGGACTCCCGATGCCTTGGAGGTCGGAATTTCGACGCACAACTGGATCCCGTCGAAACTTGGCATGCATTAAGACTATTTCAGTTCCCAGGCGTAGTAGACAAGTCATAGTGACGTATTGCTAGGCAATACGTACATCAGCTTGATTTGTGTACTGCTCCTGTGCGTGCACAAGGCGGCCGTTTGCCTTGCGGTTGTACTGGACCCGTTGGCAAATTATTTTGCATTAATGGTTCAGGTATTTACGGTCCGTCTTCACTCAGTGCGTAGCAATTAACTGGTGCGATCCAATAGCGGTCCAAACGCGGGAGAGAATTTCAATCCGTCGTCGCGTGCACAAATGGATACTTTTACGCCATTCTTAACTTCTTTGCATGGTTGATTTGTTAAAGCTGGAACTACATCAAGTAGCTGGAGCCAAGTACAGCGGATGCAGCCGTCACAATGTTGACTCAGAGCCTCGTTGTGGTACCATTCTGCAGTGGAAATTCGTAAATAGCGCACTGTGTGGACAGCACTGCATCAAACAGCGGTACAACCACGGACAAAGGGTCGAACTGATAGTAACTAATAATCTGTAAAAGGGTAAGCATTTATGAAATATTTCAATGCAATGACAGCAAGTCCCCACAGCAAATCCCCACATGCCGATACTGACACGCGTTGACGCGAGGGCCATAGGTGCGTCAATGATCATACATTGGGCAATGCTGCAGCATCATTCGGCGTTGCATCCATGATACTGGACAAACGCCGCTGCATCAAATTCTACCTAATTGCAGATGATTTCAATAGGATTCCACGCTTCCGCCCAACATCTGCCGACTGCATTGCAAACTTATAACGACTAGCGCAATAATGCCCGCAGCGCTCAATGAAACACGCATCCGCAGAGCAATCATGCATACAGAACATAACTCCCAACATTGCAGGTCAGGCCGCGATTCAGTCAAGCTGCGCACGGCCGTGGAGAGCGCGCTGACACCCGCCAAAGTGTGCCGACGGGTTTACGTCGACGACGGCGGCTTGCAGTTGGATCTGGCCAGCAGCAGCCTGGGGCAGTACGACACGCCGGCCATCCTCAGGGTGCTGCAGTGGAACGGTCGACAGGTGCATGAAAAATGGAGCCTGGGAAAATTTCGCTAGTGCTACTTGGCGCCATCGTTTGGTACATTATTGACGCATCATCCGTACGTGTCATTTGTTCATGGACTTGGGCGTGTGCCCTGTGATATCGCAGTTATCGATGATTCTTGTACCACCTGCGTGTGCATTCGTAGCGCCGACGAAACTGTACTGCGTCAGCGACTTTCCTTTCATATCCCATCTGTACCAGGTATTCCGGGAAGCAGCCCCCAATATGGCCTAGTGGCGATATTTTGGCGACGCACGTATGATCGAGCTTCACGGCATCCACATTGTGAATCGTGGCGAAGGCGACCCGATATGAACTAATGATTCCCTCGTGACGGTGTGCGCGCCCTCATGGCACCATCACGCCAGAATGAGCGTCTGCAGAGCGCCATTTATGACAGCCACCACCGTCATGTTGACACGTCGCGGTAACTTGCTGGACCGGATGATTCGGTTGGCAGCAAGCAGCCCAATCTGTTGTCTCCTTTTTGCACACCTCAAGTATTCCGACTGCGCTACACACGAGGCGCATAATTTGAGAAAATGCCTGATTGCGCATTTCAAGATGCTACCTTCAGAGCCTCCCAGAGCTCCGTGCGCATGGCGACAAGAGCGGACCGCAAGCTTGGCCTCAGAATTCTGCGCTCACGGACACCCTGTGTTGCTCCAGATACGCAGTGCGCTGGAAACCTCAAGAGAGCTTGGGGTCCCTCAGCAGGGCGTAGCCAGCGGCACGCAGCATGTGCTGCACTGCAGGGCGAACCTCGACGCAGTGCACTCGTACAGAATCACCCAGTTGCAGCTGCGAGACAACGCACTGTCGGACAGAGACGTGGCGCTGTTGGTGCGTGCGGCAAAGGCGGTCTCTTTGAGGTGCTGGCTGTGACTAACTCGTCAAGGGCAACACGGCAGTCTCGCTTCCAATACATTCACGTCCCAAATGCTGTTTCTGTCCCATACCGTTGCTACCACGCCTTGACATTGTAACATCATCACATACCACCAGGAAAAAGTTCATTTTCCGGTTCTTGTCCAGGTGGGGCGGGGAATGCTCCTTGCACGTCATATTTGTTTCCGGACTTACCATAATCTTGGTGCGCGGAACTTGGTACATGCCATAACAAGTTGCACAACACAACTTGTTGCGCATGCGAGGTGCACAATACCAGGCTGCTTGCCAAGGGCCCATTGGCTTAACAACATCATGTTCCTCCAGACAGCTGTAGAGGCATAAGAACATAGACGAGGAAGTGGGAGGCAAACCCACGAAAGTACCATTGACGATTTTGCATGTGGTTCAAGAGCACAATTGTGTTGACCACACACCAACATTGTGCATGATTTCGGAAATGTAGTGGCGACTAAGCTGAAGTTAGGTTTCACCCAATTTTTGGTGCACATGGATGGAGAACTGTCATCACAATTGCCACAATTGCAATTGACACAACCATTCAAAGTTAATTAGGTTTCCGATATGAGCATTTCAACGTTTGTCAAAGTGCGTTTCATGAGCCTGACACTTCGACAGTGCACCTTGCATGTGACGCTCATGACCAACTTGCTCACAAAGAGTTCACCCAAAAGGAAACAAGCGTTCTTGGATATTCTTAATTCTTAAGTTTATCAATACCTCCTCTGTCCAAGATTAGTTGTCGTGTATTTGAAGAACAAAATTCGTAATTAAGACAAGGTTAAAATTCCCAAACAAACTCAGAATCGGAAACATTGGGCTGCAAAACCCTTAACAACCAATTTTCAATAAGAGAAAGTGAGACACGACCCCTTTGAGCGTTAGGCGAAAGGTGAATTTTAGCCACTTTTGACCCTACATATCGAGGTTTACTAAGGCAAAAGAAGCCCTTGATATTAAATGGATTGATTTGAAATGTTGGTACTATACTCCAAACTTGCAAGTACAACTCTGGGCGAAGTTTTATTGAAAATTGATGATTTTGAGATGAAGAAGTAATGCTCCAAAATTTCAAGCGACATTTAATTTTGATTAAAAAGATATATATTGTTAGCAGTGTGCATATGTATGCGGGCTTGTAGCTCAGATGGTAGAGCGCTCGCTTTGCATGCGAGAAGTCTGGGGATCGATGCCCCACAAGTCCATCCCTTTCTCCGCCCTCCTTTTTCACCACCTGCACTTTTACCCACCACCACGGCCTCCCCCCTTCCCCGTCAGCCCCGCTCTCCCGCCGCACAGGTGGTCGCCCTCCACCACGCCCTCTTCGTAACCTCCCTGGACATCTCCCTCAACCCTCGCATCACATGGCGCGGCGCCGCCGCCCTGTCAGAACTCCTCGACACCGTCAACATCAAGCAGCACGCGCGGCACCAGTCGGCCATCGAATCATCCCCCCGGCCGCCGCCCTGCCTGCGCCGCCTGGCGCTGGACGGCCTGCCGATCGGCGACGCCGGCGGGCGCGCGCTGTGCGATCGGCTGATCTGCAACGATGCGCTGACGCGGCTGTCGGCGCGGGGATGCGGGATTGGGGCGGCAAGCGCGGGCTCACTGGGATGGATGCTGCAGGAGAACGCCACGCTGGAGGTGCTGCGGATAGGTGTGGGGGTCAAGGAGCGGGCCGCACCGTGCTGCTCGACCGATCAGTCTTCCATGTGTGTGTGTGTGTGTGTGGGGGTGGGTGGGGGGAGATATCGGTGTTGGTACCGATATGAGTTGCGATACCGTATAGATACTGGTTGGTTGTGCAAAGGAAGGGTAAGATTTGCCAAGGAGAAAGAAACAGGACAGAAAAAGGGCGCTCCCACCTAAGAAAGCGTATGCGAGGCCCTTTTGATGTTGCGGAAAGATGGCACAGAGCGGAGACGACATAAATGCGCAGGCGGGGGGCCAGTCAAGATGTGTCAAAATCCCTAAAACGCAGGTCGCACGATGGAGCGCCCCCTCCTGAGCGAGGGTACAGCGGGCCCTGTTCCGCTTTGCAGCGTTGTGGGTGCCACCATCGGCAAGAATGAGATCATACGATCTCATACGATCTCATCATACGATCTCTGTGCATATGCCAAACTTGCCGATATGGCAGGGCGTCAATGTGCATGCAGTGTTTGCGTTTGGAGTGCTGGGAGTTTGGCGATTGCGGTCTGATGAGGGTAGCCTTGTGAGTGCTGTTGGGATGATGGTTGGCGGTGAGGCGGTAATGATAAGTGATGATGCATCGTAGCCCCTGGTCAAGTTGTTGCAGTGTATAAGGTGGTGGGTACATTTTATGCAGTAACAATAGTACTATTAGTAATGGTACTATTATTGGTACTAATATAGTACCAAACCAGTCGCGTGTGTACCCCCAAGTTGTGTGTTTTGCAGAGCAGTGGCACCCTGTGCTGGAGGTCCTCGGCTGGACACCACGCCTATGGATTTCCCATTCGAACCTCGCAGATGGGTGCTCAGAGTTAGCCGTACAAGTGCACGTGTGCGAGGCACGTCAACATTCGAGATGTTCTGTCGCCACTTGTGTGCGTGCCCTCCGGCGGCGTTGTGTCAGCCCAAGGATTGTCAGAAGCAAATATTTGATTTAGATATTTCGAACGTAAACTAAAGATGATGCGCCTGCAGGGGCCTGGTGGGAACGGGAAGTGCAACATGCAGCAAAACCAGGTTTCAAAATTATTCTCCAGGGAATGGCGGATTTTCAATCCGGTGGAGCACCATCCCCCGACCCGTCCAGACAACACCCACCAAGTGAATGCACAAGGCTTGCAGACCTGACATAGCGCCTGAAGCTTGCTTGATGGGTGGCAACTCACCCGCCACCCTTGGTGTACCAAGTATCGAGCATAACAGTATACCGAGCACGTACTCCAGCCATAGCAAATTTGCCTACATGACAATTTACGACTGCCTCCGACCAGGTTGGAATAGCTTGGGCGCCTTGGGAGCAGCAAAGCTGTCATCCGGCCTGCGGGCCAATGGCACGCTTCGAATACTGGAGCTATCCTACAATGGCCTGGGCCAGGCTGGCGCAAGTCACGTGGGGCGCGCCCTCGTGGACAACGGGGGCTTGACTGAACTGGATCTCAGCAGCAACGGCGTCGGGAGCAGGGCGTGCTCTGTGAGGCAACATGTGCACTGCCGCAAAGCTGCAGAAATGGAATGCCAACAGCAAGGGAAGCAATGCTCATCAAAATGTTGATAAAGTGAATGCAGCGTAATTCACATGATCCATTGCTCTAGCCCATATAGAACACCTGGCAGCTCACTTGGAAGGGCTTTCAGCGGGCCAATTTGTGCCTTCGCGTTCGAGCTCTGGGATTTCGAGTTCGCTGATCAGAGAAGTGGATTCCATGCAGGTGATCGCGGACGCCCTTTCCCGAAACACCAGGTTGGCGGTCCTGCACTTGAATAGCAACCCCCTGGGTGGCGATGGCGGACGCCGCCTGCTGCAGACGCTCGCCGGCAGCGACAGCCTCAAGCGCATCGCGCTGCAGGGGAGCACGTTCGCGGACGATCCAATAGTCGTGTCCGAAAAGGCACGGAATGCTTACGTTTGACTGAATGGAAACGTGACATGCACTGGAATTTTTCCTTTCCGGGCCCACCTCCTAACCCATCCTCCACCCCACCACCACTACATGTGGGAATGTGAGAAATTGCCACAGTAGCGAAATTGCGCATTGAATGCAATTCTGTTCTGTTGTGAATCATGCCAATTCGATAAGCATCCTGTACTGGCACTTCAAGCCGTGTTATTGACGAACCATTTCGCGAAAATTCAATCATTGGCGGGGCAATTTCCAGTAATGTACGTGAAGAAAATTAGGCGACAGATGCGTTGTTTGGTATTTGTTATTTTACATTTTTGGGCATTATCATTTGGTGTTATCGTTATCATTCGAGCCGTCATCATAACTCTTACTGTTCTGTTGTCTGTTATTGCTGAACTTCAGCATTTTTGTGCAAATGTACTTTAACGAGGCGAGTTTGTTGGACTCAGAGGACGCATTGCCAGAAACACACTGAACAAGGAAAGCGGCAGATATAATTGCATTCGACCGTTGTTTTGGTTGTCAATTGGCAACCCAATCACTAGGTTGCCCTCCGCTGATGCAACACCACAGAGAGGCTTATGCATTGGCAGTATGCCAACACGGTGCGGTTCTTGAAGACTGCGGAATTTTCAAGCTGATGCAAGTTTGTTTAGTGTTAAATGTAACGACGTGCACTGCTGCAATTGCCGTTTGCAGTAGTTGCAAACTCAGACAACCTTCCGTCGCTGGCTGCTTGAGGCGGTTCGTGCATTACAAACCACCGAAGGCACTCATCACATTCTGTGCTCAAGTCGCTGAAAAATGTGCAGGTGCCCTCTCAGGCACAATTTGTGTGATTGTGCCAAAATCGGGTATTTCTGCAGATCTTCAGCCGAAGGAATCCTAACGGAAAGTACACGCTGGATTTGAAGGACCCATCTCATCGTCAGCTTGTCGCAGAGCTCGTTAGTTTAAGGCAATGTCAGGTGGGTTGCAATGCCAGTATTTCTTGCTCATCTTGACTAGATCCACATATTCTCAATTCAGCGCCCCCTGGAAATGTCCGGCAGCGCACCGGAAATGTATTAGAGGCAAAATTTGCACGTGGAATGAACCTTATTCTGATTAAGCAATTCAACTGATGCGAGAAGAACACAACACGGAATGACCCGACTGCAAGCGCGTATTTTCAAAAGCACATCTTCCCGTCTTATTTCTCAGTTGCTTGTTATCTCCACAGTGGACATCTGACCGAATGGCCAAGAGTATCTTATTTCAGCTATCTTCTCAGCAACGCCAACAACAGCCATCCAGAAACACATGTGTTTGTCGATGGCATCTCGTTGAACCGCGCCCTTTCAGCACTACACATTGTTAACATATGCCGATGAGTTTTGGCCGCGACGCCACCATGAATGCCACGATGGACAAAGACAAGGCTTCGCCAACCCCGCCGCGATTGGCGCCCCGCCGTGCGGCGCCTGCGCACTGCAAGCCAGAGCCTCCATTCGAATGGAGGTACGAATTTTCACGCATTTTCACACCTTTTCACGAATTCGTGTGTTTGGGCTTTCCAGGGCGAATCGACATGGCAGCAGGCCCAACTCAACGCCCAGCCTCTGGATCCCCAAATCATCGACGACTGGACGGAACGTCTCCCGGAGGAAGGCGTTCTTCAAGTGGCTTTCGCGGCCGCAGAGGGGCCTCCCCTGGATGTGCTGCCCATAACGGAAGGCGATTTCCAATGCGTGAGACAGGAAATGTCACAGGAGGGCGCCAGCGACTACTGGCGCCTCACCTTGATCCAGCTCATGACTGGGACGTTCTTCTTCTCAGCCGCGCAGGTGGACGCAGGACTGAAACAAAACTTGTTTTTTGAGTAGTAGAGGAGAACATACAGTGGATTGTGAGGGAAGAAACGGCAGCTGCCACAGAGATGAGCCGAATTGATGTCGCATTCAATGCGGAAGCTGATCTGAAACTTCACGCTTAATGGTGAAAACTCCTCAGCTGCAGCCACAACGGGTCATGGGAAAATGGTGAACTGCTGTGGCACAAAAACGGAGTATACTTTAAAAGCGAAACGGAGCTGTATTTTCAATGTTGAGATCATCGTCATCATCAACATCATCAAGAACGCGTTGCGAAATGCGCAACACGGTGATGGTGATGGTGATGATTGGGGTTGAACGCTTGCTAGTTTTTTTTTCAAGACCATCAGGCCTACATGTATGAGTGAATGCGTGGGACATGTCAAGGATGTAGTTCAGGTATGCGTGCTGTGGCTATCTCTTAAGAAGGGAACGTCTACTCATGTGAATCGCTGAAAGTGGCAGTCCAGTTGTTGTGAGGCAACATTGCGAGCTCTTGCACAAGTGGATGACCGCCTATGAACCGTGGGTTTTGGTAATGTAGACACCACACGAAGATCAGGAGTATTCAATAGCACTTCCAGAAAAGCTATATAAGAAGTGTACAATAATTATGTTCAAAACAATTTTATAAGAAGTATAAAATAGAAAGATTCGAACAATTGATAACTACATATTTGGAGCTCCAGCAGGCATTTGAACTATTATCCACATTCCACTGGAGATCGGAGAGGATCGAGGCTGCGACTATTCTCGTGGGTCGCGTGGTGGACCCCAAAAACGTGTCTGTGATGACGAGCGGGTTTTCTGACTCGGATCTTCGGCAATTCTTTTCGATGTTGGGAATCTTGGCATTCTTCAAGCCAGAGAATCCCACGGGAAGGTACAAGCTGCAGCTATCCCGGCAGGTGAATCGAAAAGAGCGACGACCGAGGAGTGGAAACTACGATGGAGTCTTCCTTCGAAGGCGGATTGAACATGAAGTCGGCACTTATGCACATTTGCCGGTGTCCAGTTTAACAGGCAGTGTCCAATATAGTAATGTGTTGAGGTAAACACTTAGCGAGGTACATATCCATTGAAGATCACAAGTACTGCTAGTGGGATTCAGTCGTAGTAGGGGATAGTCTCAACCTGCGCATCCTAGCCGTTCGACCTTGCGGGTGAAGGTGGAGCACCCTTCAGAAGACACGGAGCAACAACGTTATTTCGTGTCTGTATTTGCTTCTTTCCATTGTTTCAATTTAAAATTCGAACGCCGTGCACGGGCGACTGTCGCAATGCACATTGGACAATATATATGCACAATTGAATCAACATACGGCTCAACTGAACCGCCACTTCCTGCGCTTCAGGTCGACCGTGTAGTGGCAGCCCGGCTGCTGGAAGCAAGCGCGAAGGAAGGCCACTGGAGAACCGATCCGCTGAAGACCAATTTTCGAAACGTCCTGGTTGACGATCAAGAAGTTGAAGTCGAAAATCCCGCGACTTTTCAGGTGCCTAAGAGGGGGTACATGCAGCTGGACTACGTGTCCATCAGCGACGTGAGGAGCGGAAAGGCACCAATCGCAGCGAGAAGGGTGCCGGTCGACGACTACGTGTTTTTCCAACTCGTGGGAGTTGTGCAGGCTTTGCTGGCCCTGGAAAACTCCAACAAGGGCCCTGCGGAGGGCGATGCGAGCGGCAAGGAGGACAAGGGCGCAACACGTAGGGCACGGCTGCTGTCAAAGGTGCATAGATCCGTTCCGCCTCCATTGAGAAGGTTTGGCCAGACACCGGAAAGAGACTCACAGTGTTGAAGGGCCGTAAATATGAGCGAAACTACCCTTCAAAGCATTTCAGATGCTTCTGGAACACTGCGCTGAAGCAACGAGTATCAGATCAGTGGCGCACTTCGGTATTTTGGCGCACCGCCTCAGAAATGAGCGGTGAACTGATATTAACTTAGTACTGTTAATATTACCGTTGTATTTGCTGTTAGCAATGTCAGGGCGAACCTTGAGCCACAAGAGCGTGGTGGGAATCGGCTCGCACCACGTGAGGGGCGCTGCAAGGCAAAAGCTGGATACACATCTCGTACAGCAAAACAGCACGTTTCCACGGAGACAATTAACCTGGAAAATGCCTTGCTGTCATAAGCTTCTTGAGCGCGCATCGTCAATTGACTGGACTTAATACCAGCACATTACCTCTGCTACACAGAGGTCAATGATGGGCATGCTAACCCCGCACGGCATGTTGCTGTTTTATACAACAAGAACTTTGCAGAAAATATGTATCAAATATGTATATCACTTCAACAATACCGCACATTATCGCATTGACAATGTGCTCACAATTGCCATGGTTACGCGCTGCATATGTCTCAACGTTTGCTTGAGCAGCGCCAGGCTGAATTTCTCATACGCGATGCACCTGCCTCGGCTCCAGACATGTTCAGTTCACAGCAACCTGCCGCACACAGGGGCCTCCAAAAGATCCGCAAAATCCAAATCCAAGGGAAGGGGCAAGAAGGGAAAGAAGCAGTCCCAGCTCTCGGCAGAAGAGCCTGCAGCTCAGCAGCAGGGAGAGGAGACATCGGGGTCAATGCACATACCTCTCCCCAGCGGCAATGCGCATTCGCAACGCCGAGGCGCCATCATGTCACCGCGGTGCGCCTTCCGCGGCAGGCACCTGCGCAAATGATATCGGCAACCTCCCGCAGATGCGAGGTGCCGCACTGGCGCCTTCGAGCGAATGGAAGGCACAAAATGGATTAAAACATGAACGTTGATGTTTTGGCATGTTTTCCAGCCTATCTAACGCTTCGCCCAGTGGCAACCGAGCCCTCTATCACAGCTTAAGACAAGCTAGCCAGACTACTCGATCACCGGCTTGTACGAAGCTAGTAGTCTTCTACAGCCGCATGGCATTTCAGCCTGTTTAAGTATGTTTCCGTGTTCATGTTTTGTATGTGTGGTATTGGGAAAGCCACGATTTTACAAAGGATACGTGTCCACTACAATGCCCCATCACTGAAAGAAAATGAACTATTACCATTAAATTGTACGCAGCGTCTGGTCTGAAACGTGAGCCATGGAACGCCGGCGGATATTGCGCATCAGCAACTATAAGGTAGCGAGCATGCAACTGTTACATTGGACATTTCTAGTGACACTTTGTGCCCAGTGGCTCGAGCATCGCACTTCAGTCATTCCGGCACACGAGCCACGCCTCCTCCTGATGTTTGTGCCTTCGAGCGTCCAACCACCCGGAAGGAAGTCTCAAACTGATCAGAACAACACCCCTTCCAGGAGAGCTTATACTGCACTTAGCACTTCGCAGTACTTTGCTGCACCAGCACTTCACAAAAGGGTGCTGAACGGGGCTGTTCCCGCCACAGAGCCGCCAAGTTCTCGGAAGTGTTTCGGAAGCACCTGGCGCAGGTGGAGCAGCTGCGAATGTCGGGCATGCCTGCGGGCGTCGCCTGGAGGACGATTTTGCAGCGCTTGCGCGAGCTGGGCGTCGTGACGGAACAGTTTGCGGCCGTGTGGGATGGCGAGATGCCCTCCCTCGCGCCACTGGACGTCGTGCGATCATTTTCAAGCAGGGTCTTCGTTAGATGCGACCAGGTGATATGGCTCTTAAGCTATTTCGGGAGAAAGGGGTGTACCCCTTTACGTAAGGCGCTGCAGTTGGTCTGCAGTAAAGAATACTAAGTACTAAGTCTACGGTAAATTACTTAGATTACTGTACTGGCTCTGCCCCTTTTTACCTGCAACTGCGTTCCTGAGAAAGTTCCTAATTGCTTATGATTTCGGTTCAGTCGCTTTGCGTGGTGAATGTGTTGCACTGCATAGATTTCTCAGGTCAACAGCGCCACCAGTGCTGATGATTGCAGTTTGAATGGACCCACCGCAAGAGTTCCGCAACACTCGTGCGTCATCCTTTCTGGAACAAGTTGGCGCCTCCTGTACCTCCAATTGCTGTATGGTGCACAAGGGTCACGGAGCAGAACTTGCATTAGATTTTGAACACAACACTTCAACAAAGAAAACTCTAGTTTCGTTGAAGAATGTGCATGTTTGGAACTAACAACCTGAGGCCGCAAGGCATGTATTTGTTTGTCGAGCTCATGACCATCCAAGTGATATTAGACTCCGTTAAGGCAGTGATGCCCTCCATCTATTTGCAGAATAGTGTACGGATAACTTGGTTAGATGACATATCCTCTCCAGTTCTGCATGTACAGGTGATCGACCTCCTCGCCGTGTTTGGCGACACCAATCAAGCTCCTGGATATTCGCCCCCAAGCGGCTCTGCTCGCGTGGAGCTCATTCAAATCGTGTTCTGCCGCATTGTGGATCTCAAGTAAGGAACCACAGATTGTACCCATGAAACCGAACCTAGAATTACTTCCGAGTGCTCAATTCGTGAAAGGAACAGGACTGTGATTTCGGCAACACCAGTGCATCCTGAGGCACCAGTGCTTCCTGAGCATTCTGCTTATGCACCGCGTTTACAAGCGTGTGCCATGACCAGATTCAGAGCAGAACCCTTCCTTTCATACTTGTGCTGTTCGAATATATATCGCTTTGGACACAGGTAGCACTGCTGTTTGATTCAATTTTCGATAAGCTGGCACGAAGCTCTCAATTCAAAACAATGTAGGGAGCAGATTCCTTTGCTTCGGTGGTCACAGGGCCGGAGCATCATGCCTTGCCATGTCGCTGCCTTGATGATGCACCTGCTCGCATCACTGCAATCTAACTCCGCGTGGTGGTACCGAAATCAGTCATTTCGCATCGGTCTTGAAGAAGTTGCCGCCCGAGGAACAGACCGAGGTGCATAGACGACTTGGCGTGTTGAACACCGTGCCGATGGCCAGGTGCGAATTTCGGTGATCACAATTACAACCACGATGCAAAACCGCGCCCAGCGCAACTCTGTCAATTACAACACAGCAGGTGAATGAAATTGCTCCCAACTACATGTGTGAGACGATTCGACACAGTCTGGCCCAGTCACCTTGGCCGCGGCCGACGCAGGGCCACAGGGACTTCATCCATGGTCCACTAGCTTATGTTCCACAGGAACAGCCACTGTTCATTGCACATGTGATCAATCTACTCCCCTTTAGCGCAGCCTCTTCCGCGCCTGCTGCCATTACATACATGTTGCAACTCACGCATTTTGTATGTGCTGCAGCACATGTACTAGTCGCAGGGACATCGTAAAGTGTGGCCAACTCGTGTTCCCGTTGAGCGGAACAAATTCTCAAACACTTTCGCTGGTGAGCTGGAAGTCAATTAGTCAATTGTGAGGATGCTAGGCAGGAGAAGCATGTCCTTGGGCTGATGGAAATCCCAGCAACCAATTGCCTCTAACTTTTGTCGCCAGCGTTCGCTTGACGACTTTGCGCGCTTGCCTGTCGCCCCTCACCAGGATGGACCACTTGCACCTCGACGGGCTGCATTTCTGCCTGAGGCTCCATCGCGGGGACGAGGCCGCCATGTGCGCGCAGATGTGCACAGTGGCGGCTGGCGTGCCGCGGGGCCAAGTGTTCCGGGACACTTGCATCAACGGGTGCCCTATGTCGATACCCGAGAATGAGAGAATGATGAAGTCCATTGTGAAACTGGGCCGTCGGGTCCAACAGCCCGGTGCGTTGCGCAAGCGGCGAATGTTGCAACTTGTGCGCGTTGCAATTCGTGCGTGTTGCAGCTCGTCGGAGGGCCACTTGCCGCACGGATTAAACCTTCCTGCCATAAGCTGTAACAAGGAAGTCCACAGCTGAGTCTGCGGCGGAAAATTGAATGCGCGGAAAATTGAACGTACCGAGCTGCGCCTGACGAGCACTGAGTGCAGAGCAAGATTATTTGGAGTTCATCTGTATTGCGGATCAACGAAAGTCACGGGAAAGAAAAGCGATGGATGACAGCTATGGAGATCATTTGCCAGGCAGATGCTCTCCCAGAGGTTACTGGAATTGTAGATTCAGGGAGCAACTGGAGAAGGTTTCTAGAAGAGTCTTCGCCAACGTGCAGCAAGCTGTTTGCGATCGCGAGCACGTCCGATGCATCCGCGCCTCGACACGATATTGATCTTGCTGGGGCAAGCTGAGCCCCCACCAACACCCTTTCCGCCCAATGTGCTCACGATCTGGTGTTGGGTGGGACGGATGAGACTCTCTTGGTTGGGTTTTGTGCGGACATGGGCACAATTTTCTCGTCTCGGTTCATCAGAACAAACGTTGAGACAAATGCGATTGGCTCTGACTGCTGTTCTGCCTGGACTCCTCCGGAGTGACGAACTTCTCTTTTATCTTTCCCGAGACTGAGCATTATTTTGGATTCGAACCGTTGGGGGGCCTGTGCATCGCCTGGCACGCACTTGATCGGTGGCACAAGGCCCACATATCTTGTGACAGGACGGGGGAGACACCTGGCCGATGTGATGCAATACTTTGGAATCCTAAAAAGCCAATGCGCTCACTACACTCTGCAGCACAGGAAGCAGAAGGTTTGCCCCAAAATTCTATTCCTGCAGATGCGGCATGGCTTACTCAAATGTGTGCAGGTAGCACGACGCGATCGCAATTTAATGGTGGAGCCCAGGACAGCGCCGGCGTGAATGAAAACCAAGCATCGCAGAGGACAGAAGGTAACCAACACTGAACATGTGGACTGAGCAGTGCGCGTATGTTTGACCACCCAACACAACCTCCGTGGACAATGCCTTAAATGCCACAGCCGCATCGTTGGCAATTGCGATTGTCGGCAATCGATAATCGAAGGCTTGAAGATTGTCAACGTCAAGTGGCGACGATCGTTATTCGGAAAAACGTCAGCATTCTCAAATGTAGAAAAGAAAGTCCTGCACGAAGCGGTCTTGCCGATGCCCATGGCCGCCATGCTGTCTCTCACACACATAGCCGTCACATCTGAATTTCGCCTACACGCCCTCATCGCCAACTCTCAGGCTGCGAATAGGCGCTACAACGATTGCTGCCCTGAAACTCAGCCTAAGGCATGCTGGACAGGCACCGACTGGGGCCCCATCGGCACCATACAGTTCACCATTAGGTTCCCGACCAAGCACCTGTGCGGCATGGCCGCCGTCCACATCCAAAGTGCGATCCGAGGGCACATGGAAAGGAAGAAGCTGGCCGCGATTGCGGCGGCGGCCAGGACAGCGCAGCGGCAGCTGACCAAATCTCCCAGGTCGCCGGAGGCCAGCGCCAACAGAGATGGCAGCGACCACAGTGCGCAAACTCCCAGGCGCGAGTAGGCGCTGAAAACTGTGTGCTTGCCAGCGCCAGGCAGCTTCCTCTCCGGCTCCTGCCGAAGCATGCTGATCTGGTAGACTGATGTTGATCGCAGCCTGCCGCTGAGTCGAGGACTGCTCGATCGGTGTCGTACAATTGTGCGACACCACATGCTTCATGTGAAACGCGCGCCGTATTCCCAGTGTGTACGGTATCACAGCAGTCGACACACAGATGCAGCAGCCAGGCGTGCCAACGACGCAAGGCGCATTCTTTGAGGGTCGGTTTGGAAAGGGTCACTGCACGATTCTCTTCTTATCTGCCCCGAATTGAAACCTCTTGAACACGAGCTTGACGGTCTTGTCCTCTTGCCAATTGCGACCCAGGCCCGCCTGGAAGAACACCTTCACTTTGCCGGTCGTGCCGAATGTAGATTCGAGCACCCCCGGAGATCCGTTGCCCGCTACCACCTGCGAAAATTGAAGCCAAACAAGTGTGCGCAACAGATTCAATCTCAGCCATCGTAACTTCGGCTGTCCCTGTTTGTGCATGTTATAGCTTCCTACAAATCGAGGCGCCCAGAGAAGTTGGCATACTCCAACTGAAAGCAATGTGCCCCGGAGGGCCACCACTCCAATGTGCTGGGCGAGTTCTGAGGATGGCATCTTATACCGCTGAAACTGAATGAACAAAGCCAGGGTGCCGAAACGCATTCAAAATCCCTGCGCATGCTTGCTGAAAGACGTGAACCAAAGTATGGTGACGTTGCTGAATTTCACATCAATGGAACAGGCATGCTCTGTACTCCGTGACCGAGTACCAATACTATGGGAGGGCTCTACCCGTGCCCTGGTTTGTTTCAGCCAATTCACTCCACAACAAACATCTGCTTGCCATGGTAGATTCAGAATGTGCATGCCGTCTATGCTCACGCTCTCCACCATGGTACTGCTTGGGGCGCTGCAATTCCGACATTGCGAGTCGCCGACACCAGCATGCTGACTTGCGTTATCAAGCCCACCTCCGTGCGCAATCTGTGCCCATGTTGTACGCATCAGCGCACATCCTTCCGCAGAATGAAAGACTGCATTTCTTGTCTTACTCCACTGAATGCCAAAGGATCCGGAAGCTTTCCCAATTCTTTGTCATACTTTATTCATTCCACCGCCTAATTCGCGAAGGAAGGAATAACAAGCGTGCAATGGATTCCCGCTGGCTTGATACCAACGCCTCATGTCTCAGAGACAAAGCGACAATACTTCCCACCTTCAGGCCCATGAATGCTCTCAGGTCTGTGCCCTTCTTGAGAAGATTTCGGCAAATCGCTGTCTTGCCATCCGGTTGTACTCGATCAATCACCCCTGTCTTCTCTTTCCACTGCACACAAATTGACAGCATCAGCGAACTTGACATCCTCTATTCTTGCAGCTACCGCCAAAACATCTGTTGCTGGCAAACTCCCACACCTGCAGCACCTGAGCTTCTTTGGCTGGGGTAATGGGACAAAACGCATTGGCAGCGCCAGACGTCGCCCAGCACCGGCCAACATAAGCAAGGGCAGTGACTTGTCATGCTTGATGAATTTGACCAACGTGGACGGGTGCAAGGTTAGGCTAGGTTGTTGAACCTAAAATCAGGAACTCCAAGCTCTCGTACTGTTGCGGGGTCTTGGAAATGGCAAAAGCTGTGGATATACAGAGTGCAGCACGTGGATGGAAGATTTCAGACATTGGAGTTGAGCGCTGGTATAATTCCAAGCGTGGATGACTATGGATGTCAGTTCCCACACCCATGTACGGCTGCCGCAAAAATTGCGTGAAGACAGCAATAAAGGGCATTCTCCAAACAAAAGTGAAACTACCACACAACGGCCACATGCCTCCCAGACAAGTGCGCGGGTGCTAGACTGTTGAGACATCGCAGGCGACGACGCATCATGGAAAGAACGTCGACAACAAAGCCAAGTGCTTCTAGAACAAGGGAGGAACTCCCCACTGATCAGGGGAGGGGACTAGTACACCCACCTTGAATACTTTAAGCTTGGCTGCCTCATCCGGATTCGACAAATCAATCGGCGCCACGAGTTGGCCGTAGAATGCTAGTCGGCAGGAAGCGCACTGGACGTCTGTGTCAAGCCGAGCGCCAATCAGGACGGCATCCTGCATAGCAAGGAACCACATACCTTTACACAAGTTGAAACACAGGCAAAGGACACGTGACGAATTCCATTTCATGTTTCATTGAGCAATACAAATCTCAGAAAGGAGAATGTTAGACTGTGCTTGCTCACTTGAATTGCTAAAGTGTGCAATGGTGTAGAAAGGAACACATTGCCACCACAGATTCGAGCAAGCCTTCTATGACACTTAACGAAAACGAAATTAGGCAAAATCTGCAGTCAATGTTGAGATGAGCATGGATAGCCAGCAGGCACCCAAATGTGGTCATTTCATTGTAATATTGTTCAGACAGAAGCAATAACTCAAAGATGAACACACAAATTCGCAGCCATTGGCGCGCACAAGCCTTTCACCCATTTCAAACGTACACCAGTATCCTCTTGCAGAAAATGAGCAACACCAGCAGTTGCTCGGAGACATCGGATGTGGGAGGTTGCTTCACGAGTTCACAAAATGTGCCAACAGAACGAGCGATGATGCACTAGACAGTGTCCAAAACTGCCCATCTGGCACAATTTCGGCCAGTCATTATTAGTGTTGAATACTCTGAAGACATGAGCGTGTTTCTATATCATGCATTAAGCAAACTGTGTCGTTTAATTCAATATCTGTTGGCGGCCATTTCTCCCTACTGACAGGTCAAAGCGTTGAGCAGTAGCCCAATCCATATGCGTCTTGTGTTGTTCCTGCGATAGTGGAGGTCGACATCTCCAGTGGCGCAGAACTGCTTTAAGGACAGAGAGCATTCGCTGCTCGCCACAGTGCAACAGCAGTCCTGTCTTGAGCACTGCGCATTTCGGAATCGCAGCATCAAATATGACCTACAAGCGGTGAGCCAAGAAATTCGTCGGACGAGCTCTCTTGGATCATGAGCACATAACGCTGGCAATAACACCTTTGGCGCCGTTAAGGGGACGTCGAATTGCAACAGAGCCCATTGTTGGCCAAAGTACTTCGGTTGACCGCTGCTTGAAGCTGCTTCCTCGCACGGCCCATGCAGCACCTCTTCATGCAAGTACTCATTTTCGAAGCAGAATTTATCAGACGGCTTCTTCAGTGACAAGTGGCTGAGGCGTTGCAGAAGAGCATTGACGGCCTCTGTGCAGATGTTACACAACTCTCAGCAAACGGGCACAAAAACGAGGCCAACAGCTGTCGCCAACACCTGCCACGGGGGGGGGCATACCTCGCGTCACATGTACGAAGAGTACTGTTCGCTGCATACAAAAAACACTTCAGGAAGCGTGTCAAGGGCCCTTCCCAGGCAAATACGCATGAAACGAGCGTAGGCATCCATTGGTGTACTTTCTGTACAGTCGCAGTCAGCTGCGCAAAATTTGTTGGTCAAATTCGAGGGAGCATTTTCGCACAATTGGAACGCATCAAAAAAATGATCTCCGTGTTTTCGGTTATCACCAAAACAATCACATGTGATTGTTCTGTCCCCAGAGAAGTGCTTCGGTGCAGCTCACTGCCTCTGAAGGGCGCAAACTGTCCGCCCCTGAGGTGAAATTTGCAGTCAATGAGAGAAAGCGGTCGCCCACTCCACTGCACACAGCAGTAGAAACACTTCAATGCACAAGCCCTCACCTCTCTGCTGACGTAATAATTCCATTCAGATACCAGCTGCGTGTTCTTACGTTCCAATGATAAGACAGCATACAATGCTGCGCACGGTATCCATGAGGTAAACGACCACTCAGACGGCTGCTGAGTGCCAGAAGCAATGATATACTGCGAATTGTCCCTGGGAGCGTGCCCTTACCTTCTTCGGACCCCATGGCCCCTGCCACCGTCGAGAAAAATCGAACCGTTGCCATGACCGTGGAATGCCCAACGGTGACGTGGAACTTAGATTTGGACTTGACACTCCCAGAATAAAACCGGATTTTATCGACCCAAGCAATAGCCCCCTGTTACGCAACCAGCAGTGTGGCGTCAGACATTTACAGACTGTTGGCATGAGCTCTGCATAAGCTGCCACGGCCATTGCTCTTTAACACTACCCTGTGCAGTGCAGGGTGAAAGTGAGTTTCATATGCTCAACACCGTTTAATGTCACTGCACCCTGGCGTTTTTCATGCTGTATGCGAATGGAAGGCAAAGTTATTGCGACATCCAGGATAGACACGAAAAATAGATAGGTCACACATCATGCAAGCCGATGCGCGTAATGCAGTTGGCAATGCGCACTGTCCTGGCTCATACTTTGATCAGATGTGCACCACCAACCGGGTGCTTCGCGCTACTGTGTGTGGAGGTGCTCTATGTTGTCAAGTACATTGAATTAGCGTCTGTCTGATCGTTGCCCAAACAAGGATGCTCAACTGACTGCTGACGTTGGTGCTGCCGCTACATCGACTCACCCACACTGAATAAACATGGATCGTTACAGAGGCCCCAAGTATTTCGTGGATATATGCCATTTACTATGACGAACCCCTGTTTGCAATGGAATGCTGATGGTATCTCAACCAAACGATAAAGTGAATCCCATGAAAAATAAGAGCAAACACCTGGACCAAATACCTGGAAAGTGGGCACCGTTCCTGGCGCAGCTGCAAGACCCCTTTCAATCTTCGCTGGATCGAGATTCGTGACACACACACCAGCACGATCTCCTCCCTGAATTTTGAGAGCATTCTGCTTGAACATCTGCATGCTCTTCACTTTTCGCTTCTCCTTCAGATGTGGGATCTCAAGTACATTGTTCACAGACAACTCTCCCTGCACACAAACTGCAGATGACTTTATTGGCAGCGACTGCAGTTCAAGTTGAGAGCAATGCACATCTTCAAGAGACAGCAACCAGTCAAACAGGTCCAAGCAAGAGCGAAAACAACCAAAAGTGAACAAAGAAAGCTGTTTGCACAGCAGCTGCTATAATAGGCAAAATAACACAGTACCGCCCACAAGACAAAGGGTACCTAAACACTATACCCAATTATTCAGTGGTGACAGATTGGTGCTGTTGCTTTTGCATTGAACCCCAGCCATTCCTTGACAGCACTCTAACACAGAACAGGCAGTTGTTGACAGACTCACAACAAGTCATGGGTATCAGATGGGGCAGTTATGCCCTATGCCAGCCACATGGCATACAACAAGTCAGGTGTAGAATCACCTGCAGCACGGTGCCAGTCAATATCGTGCCATGGCCCTTAATGGGGAAGCAATGATCGATGGCAAACAGAAATGGACCAGATCGGCGGACAGGTGGGCCCTGCACCATCGCCGTTAGTTCCGATGCCAACTCTTCAACACCCACGGCAGGGTTGTTTCCTCCTGCACCAGAGTTCAAACACACGATTATCAGAAGGATGGTCTCCAAAGAGCTTGCAATGCATAACTTCTGATCTATAATCTACTTTTATCGCTTCCAACAGTTGCATCTACTGTGTAGCTACACGCAAAGTCTTCACCGCTTACACCAACAAGTGTATCTGTGGCTACTTTGCTGGTGGTGTGATCTCCGTGGACCTGCAAGGAGCTTGGGCATTGGCAGTGTGTTGGGCTGTCTTCTGGCACGTGCAATTGAGCACAAGGAATGTTATTGCATCGTTTTGGGGCTACAATGTTCCCTTTGGCACAGATTCTGAGGCTTCTCTCAGCGCTTGCCGTGACCACATATGTCAAGGAACTGCATTACCCTGGTGCGTTGTTTGGCTGATCCCCACAGGGGAAAGGCAGGTGGAGGCGTCTGTGTCCAGGGCTAGAGTTTGAGGTTGTTCTGCCAGGAACTGGGGGTTGCACCACCTCTGCTTTTGCAGCTCGTCAATATAGCGGTCACTCCGCTGATGTTCAACTATGTGAAAATGTCAGGCTTTCATTCTAGCACCAGGTTAATGTACTGCCATGCCTGGGTGAGATGGTGGTTAGGCAAGAGTGCAACAAATATAAAAAATGGGATTGGTACAGCTCTATATTGTGCAAGTCCTGTTGTGCTTTTCGTTGCTGAAGTTGATGGGGCTGTTGAGCAGCATTCCCAATGAAGTGCATAAATTTGGGAAGCCAGCAAGGGCAATTCCATTGGGCAGTATGAGGGTGTATTGACAATCTCACAAGGTTGACATCTTTCCACTGGTGATCAGTAGTTGCCACAGCTAGTTGCCGTACTGTGGGTCGCTGCATCTCACATCTGGCGTGAGTGGCACAACAAGAGCACCCAAACAAACGAATGCTGTAGATGTTCCACATACAAATCAGGAGTTGAAGAAGATCACCACCTTGGAATATGGAAGCATGGTCATATTACGTGAAATGCAGCTGCAACACCACAGCAATCTATTTAGAGATTCCTGGGGGGGCCTTGAGGTGACCAGCCCACCTGGCTTGGCAGCAACAGGTATCATCTTGCAGTCCCAGAACTTCGTCAGCTTTAGTGTCTTTGCTAGCCTCTTCTTCAGCTTATTTATGGCACGGTCCCTCGTCTCAGCAGGCAGCAGGTCGATCTTGTTCAGCACGACTAGCATCTGCTGGGCTGTCACCTCGCCAATGACAAGGCATTCCGCTGTCTGCACCTGTATACCTTGAGTCAAAAGAAGAAACACATTGTGTCAGTCCACAACGTCCTTCACCAACTCTTTAGTGGGATTTCCATCCAAGACACTGTCAGGTGCACATTGCGGAAACATTAATATGTGAAGGCGCCACGAGCATAGAGCCAGTTTGCCAGGATGTCAATTGACAAGGGAGCAAAATTGGAGAAATGATACAGTTGCCCAGTGGAGATGCATTTCAAGAAGTTGAAACCAGCCAGCAGAACACCTGCACAACCAAACTCCATCTAATCGGATTCCAATGGTTCCTTCTGATCTGGCATCTGTTCCCTCAATGTTATGTGCTCCAAAGAAAAGGTCACTCTGCACCTCAAGTGGAATCTGTGTACGAAATCAGTATGTGAGTGGATCTCCCACTTAGCTGCATGCAACCAGCTTTGCTCTCCCAGCACCTTTTGTGATGTCCACAACCAGGATCATAATGTCCATGATGTTGGCACCACCAATGATAGTGCGTATGAGGGATGCATGCCCTGGACAGTCCACCAATGTGAACTGCAGGTTGTCGAAAGGAAGGTGTGACACATGCTGGGGAAGGGGAACCTTGTGAGCATGCAATACACAACACAAGTGAGGTCCACGTAGGCTGCACATGAGGTTGAGGATAGAGTGCTTCACTCTATTTCTCTCCAGTTCAACATCCTTCACATCGAAAGTCACCCTGAGGATAGGATTGCAGATATAATTGCATTCCTTTCCCCTTGTTTGCCCTTGTGACTAGACGTACCCACATCCAGTGCAGTCATCATTGTCATAGGAGAGCCAATCATCTGTGATAAGCCTCACATTAGGACACGATCTAGAACAGATGAACATGTCAGGGTTGCCATTCCAAAATTGATAGTCGCCACAAAGCAGGGGGCAGTTCCCTTCACCATTGGTGTCAGAAGATGCAGTTTCACCACATATCACAAAAACACAATTCATCTATTTGTGTGAATGCATACTGAATGAATTTCTTCAGAAATGAAGAAAACAAAAAACAGCAAACTCAAATCCTACACAAAGTGACAAAAGTGCACTTCCTATCTGTGCAACTTTAAGTGAGCAGCCCCAGTTCTGTAAAAATTCCAGCACACTGTGTTACAGGGGCATGGAGCCACCATCCCATCCAGGTAATGATGTTAATCAATGTGTTCATACTGTGTCTGAACCGTGGTCTGTTCTCCACTATGACTCATCTTGACAACGACAACGTTACCAAAAACACCTTGAAAGCAGAGAAGCCAAGGTCCAGCGTTATGCCTCTGGCCTGGCTCTGTGGATTCTTGTCCAGTGCTGCAGTGGAAAGTATGCTGGAAAGGGATGCCACTGGAAGAACAGCACAATACCATCTCAACACAATATCCTATCCAAAGGAACACTGAGGCTTCCATCTAACAAATGAGGATACAGCAATGCTGCAATAATTGACAGTGGCAGAAACCCCAGAAAAACCATCAACTTTTGTAACATTGTACACCAGGCACGTGACTAAGAAATTGATACAATTATGTGGTGCTTGGGTTGTTGAGGACAGCTGTTGGAATGTGCATGAAAATCTGCTGGAAGGGCAAAGCACGGTTTGGCAGCCCTTTGCAGTAGAATTGTAACACCTACTTATTGAATTGGAAATGTGCATATTGGGCCTTGGCACATTGCTGAGACCTACAAGTGCCGCCAACAACTGTTGATGCCTAAAGACAGCCCTGAAAATCTGAGTGCCACCAGGGAGGTGCTTTGAATCAATGCAATTACTGGATCAGGCACTGGATGGCACTATGAATGTCTGATCATGTCCTGTGTGTGGTGCATATCAATACTGAGACTGAGCAAGCTTTATTGTACATAACGAACCCATAATGTTGGTCCCACAAAGTGCAACATCGACATAGTCACAAAGAAGAGGCCACATCTGACAACATTACGAGGCAGACGCCCAATAGCAGCTCCCCACACCACGTGTCCATCCTGGCAGACCAAACTGCTCGATGGAATGCGACCTTTGTGTGGCGTTGCGCCAGGAAAGGGGAATTCAAGTGACCAATGCTGCTCAACCCATTTTCACCCAGCCTACAAATGGCGGGCGCACACGTCCAAAAGCCACGGTGCTTATTTCCCACTCCAAAGAACCACAACCAGTGTACAGGAGTGGCTAAAAAATTGTTGTCGGGCTGTTCGATTACGAAGAGCCGATGGCCCTCACCCAGGCTGGTCTTGCCGCTGTCCACGTGGCCCAGGACACCCACGTTGACATTGAGGCAGCGCGAGCCTTCCGCCATCACGCCAGGCGAGGCGAGGAGGGACCGAGGGGAGCGAGGTCCTCTGCGCGGAATGGTTCCTCGTGGCCCTTGCGCTGCTGCTGTGGCAGAAGAGGACACAGCACTGTCTGGCGTCATAAGGGTGCCGTCAGCATCAAACAATGATGCCACGACCTCCGTTCACAGCTCTAAAGTCTGAGCCAATTACCCCGAAATATTCAACCCTTCCGCATCAGAAAATTTCACCGTTACCATTTTAGCTCCGCATTTTTCCGACGGCCCGTTGATTTGGGGGTTGGGCATCATGGTCACAGCCGGAATGGCGACTCTGCTGAGTTCTCCGGGCCTCAAGAATCGGTTTTCCGCCACAGCTACTTGTGCAGCTGGGCCCGCTAAAGGCCACGAGCAGTCCAGAGACCCTCGCATTTCGGTTGGGGTTGCTCTACACTTTCTTGGCACCGTTACGTTTTTTGTAATTGCTCCGCAAAAAAGAGGCCAAACATTGCGTTCCCATGCTGAAGGGTGGAATATTTCGCGGTAAGCAGCAAAGTAGTGTGGGGTCGGGGCTTAGGTTGCGCGAATTATGAAGCCAACGGCTCTGCTTGAGAATTCGTGAACATATATCAACAAAGAGCTCGGGGCAACGATGAGACGAGGCCGTCAATGCGAATTGGATGCTGTGAAAGCTGCACCATTAAGAGCTGATGGTGGCGTAACAGGGAAGATCATACGGTGCGATCCATGCTGTCATCATCACCCCATCTGTAAATCATCACAAAAACACCAGCGTCACAATGTTGTGACCAAGAGACTGCTGGCAGTCGCTTTTTTTCGCCAAGAGCGCTGCTTCGAAACACCGGCCACCATCCCTGAAACCAAAACAATTGGATGGACAAATAGGCGTTGGCAATCAACAAACAATTTTCAATTTTGCGTCCTAGCCGACAGCACCAACACAGCTTCGATTGGGCAATGAAATGCATCGCTTCCCTGCAGAGTACTCCAGAGATGCAAGCGACTGTTTGTTGGCTGCAGAAAACCTGCCAGCGGTGCAACCCAGGTCTCGGAAAACTGCTGCCAACATCGAATTGTCGTGGGGCAAAATGCTAAGCGCATATATTGGCTCAGCAGTAAACAGCCTGTTGTCTTCATCCCCTGTGTGTACAGTTCCCGTGTCTCAACTAATTTGCTGTAATGTTCGGGCATTTGTTGCTCGTATGTGGTTTCCACAAGATCTTTATGTTTGTCGCTTCGTGAGCGACAGGTGAAATTGCAATTGCAGTTGGATTGTCAGTGACTGCCCTGGGTGGGAAGATCGCAAGGCTGACTATTCTGTCCTCTCTTCACCCACAATGCGACTTTCAGCCCCCCCCCACCCGGCCAGGATGCCAAGGAATGCGACGGAAAAAGTATGTCCAAGTGAGCGAGTGACCAAGAAGCTCGCGTTGTACATTAGATCCTTGTGAACAAATCATGGACGCCGCTTTCCTCGGGCACAACAGGAAGCTGACAGCTACCTGCTCGCCTCGCTATGTAAGATTTCACGATGACGGCGGTGACCAGGTCGCACTGTGCGGGCACCAGGGTGGCTTCATCATGGGTTCCATGGGCTGGTGTATTTAGGCCGCCGCCAGAGCGTCCCTCCACAGCACGTCCCACGCAGCCCCTCTTTCCCCGAGCAGAACAGCGTCCCCAAGCCCCTGGGACGCCCCTGGACGACGATGGAGGTGCGGGGCGACCGGGAGGTCTCCGACGGCACCCACAACTTCAAGGATTTTTCGAATCCTGAGGTGGCCCTGCCTGCCATCGGGAACCCTGGAAGCGGCGAAGATGCCACGGGCGATGTCCCGCAGAGCGCTGCTGTCCAGGGGACTGCCTGGGGGCGGCTCGCTACAACAGGCGGAGCCGTCGATGGGCCATCCATCAGGCCCAAATTTGAATCAACTGATGGCCAAGAGGCCATGGGGACTGCAGATGCACTGGAAGCTGAGGCGCCAACCGACGATGAGGCGCTGCGGGGCCGCACGGAGAACGACGCGGACACGTACACTTCTTCCGGATCGGCGTGCGTGGACTTCTTCTTCAAGGTCGTTCGCGGAATGGACTGCGATGAAGTCGGCCGGCTGCTGGCGGCGGCATGGGCGGAGGACGCCGACACGGCCCTGCGGCTTGTCTTCCACCTCCGGGACGTGCGCGAGGGCAAGGGCGAGCAGGCGGCGTTCTACGCGTGCCTGCGCTGGCTGCGGGGCAATCATCCCCGCACGCTGATGGCCAATTTGCGGCACGTGGCGGCGGTGGGCTACTGGAAGGACTTGCTCGAGCTGGTGGTGCTTGAGGGTGTGGGTTCTCGGACTGGCGCGGCGAAGGGGCGCCCCAGAGATTTCCGCAAGGGCAAACCTATCAAGCGACCGAGAGTGGCGCGGGGAAAAAAATCCAAGGATAAGAGGTGGAGGGGTCAAGGGAAGAGGAAGGAGCTCACCGAGGAGGAGAAAGAGGCCAAGGAGACGCGCAGGGGGTTGAGGCGGGAGATGAGGCTGGCGAAGATGCAGGGAAACAGGCGGTGCGCGAGGGAGTCGAGGGCGCTTGCCGCCAGGGCGGCGTTCGAGAGCGATGAATTGTACCAGGCGATTCACGTGGAGGTGGCACGGCTGTTCGCGACAGCGCTGCGGGCGGACCTGGAGAAGTTCCGCGCGGGGAAGGGCGTGAGCCTGGCGGCAAAATGGGCGCCGTCGCTGGAGTGCAGCCACGACAGGCGCAGCCACATCAGCTCCACCATAGCCTGCATGCTCTTCCCTCGGGAGGAGGAAGGGATGCGGGGCAAGGACTGGGGATCATACGTGTACAGGGCGCGGGACAGGTACCGCAAGGAGGTGCTGGTGCCGCTGAGGAGGCACCTGGACGTCACCGAGGTGAAGATGTCGGACGGGGCGTGGGGCGCGATCGACTATGGCCGCGTGGCCAGCGTGTGCATGAACGCCAACAAGGGCCACTTCGCGAAGCACGACGGCGAGCGATTCGCCGCCTACCTGGGGGAAGTGAAGAAGGGCAAGGCCAAGATTGCGGCCGGCGCGCTCATGCCGCACGAGCTGGTGCAGCAGGTCATGCGCCACGGGGAGAGGGCCATGGTTGCGGCAGCCCTTGGGTCGGACGACGAAGACGTGGGTCAGGGGGAGGACCTCTGCATGGAGACAGTGGAGCTGCAGTGGAAGGCGTACGTCAGCAGGCTGCGGGGCGCGGGGGTGCTGGACGGCGCGCTGGCCATTTGCGACGTCTCCGGGAGCATGGAGTGCGGGGGTGAAGCTGTCAAGCCTCTGGAGGTGGCGGTCGCCCTGTCGCTGCTGGTGTCCGAGGTGACGGAGCCGCCGTTCGGGGGGCTGGTGTGCACGTTCAGCTCCGAGCCCGAGCTGGTGTCCGTCCGGCTGGAGGACTCTCTGGCGGACAAGGTGAGGGACATGCGGGGAATGAACTGGGGAGGTAGCACCGACCTGGAGGCCGTCTTCGACCTCATCCTGGCGAGGGCGCTGGCCAGCGGGCTGCACGCCGACAGGATGATCCGCCGCCTGTTCGTGTTCTCCGACATGGAGTTCGACCAGGCCCAGGACGGCGGCGACCATTTCGAGTCCACGCATGCCGTGGCGAAGAGGCGGTTCCTCGAGGCCGGGTACGCGCTGCCTCAGGTGGTGTACTGGAACCTGAGCGGCAGGTTCCGAATGGGTGGCAGGGGGGCCTCCACGCCCGTGCTGAAGGAGGAAGAGGGCTGCAGCCTCATCTCGGGGTTCTCGGGGCAGCTCTTGAAGGCGTTCATGGGGGAGGGCGGGCTGGACAAATTCAGGCCGCACAGCATGATGATGGCGGCCGTCCAGCGTTACGGCCACCTGGTGGTTATCGACTGATGTACTATTAACATTTTCGTGTTATAATTGCGCCGGCAGTTTGCTGCTTGGGCATGTCAATGCCTCTCCGGATGCTGAGGCTGGTTCAGTCTGATTGACGTGGCATCCACAATGATGGGATATTCCAACAAACGTCCCCGCATCTCCCCGCCTTTCTGGCGAACGTGCAGTGGAAGGAGCTAGCTTCGGCAGGACGCGTACATCTCCCCCCTCAAAACCCTTTCGCCATGCTCTTGAGAAGACACGCCTGCAGCGCTGACCTGAACTGATGCCGATATTTCGGTGACATGTCACTGGCTCAAAACCACTCTACTCATCTTTCGCCCGCGAATCCAAAGCAAGCGATGACTGCGAAAAAGGCGTGGCTGTTAGAATTTTCAATATTTTGTCCATTGCTCATCGCAAACTGCAGCCACTCCTGCTCCAGAGCGGGCGTCGTCAACCGCAATAGGTATGGACACCTCACAATACTGCACTTATGTATGAATGCAAGCAACATACAGGGCACAGTTGTATGCGCAGCATAAATGCAGGTGTCCAGCTATCGTCCACAAGCGCAGGCGCAATAATATCGAGATGTTGCTCACAACGGTCGATTCTGTGTAAGCACTCAACCAAGACATGAAATTTGAATGGGATGCGGAACGCAAGACAGTACTCCCAAGCTCTTGTCAGTGACACAGGATAAATTCCAAGGAACAGCAGTGCTGAACAAAACGTTCCCGTGAGCTGGCTCCGTTTCCGATGTACTGTACGTAGCTGCAAAATTTCCATTGCCGGAAGATGAGTTTCGCGGATTTCATTGGGAAAATGTGGATGGCTGGATGTCTTCGCAAAATCAGCTCCCCTCGAAAGCTTGTGTCACATGAACAATAAAGTAGGCGAAATTGTGCTGCTGCGCAATTGTTCACATACATTGACGCGGCAAGAGAAGGCATTCAGGAGTTGCGCGCACTCAGAGAGCTCGCGCACACAGGTGCACTCATGTCTGATCGATTTTCGGTTCCGTCGGAGCGCTCCCATGCGACCCGAACGAGAGAAGTATAGAGGGGTCATTTGGGGATCCTGATTTGTTGTATCAGGACTTGGGATTGAGCTAGGGAAGACACTGTGTCGAGTTGACATGCTTAGCGCCAATTTGACGCTGGGGGGGCGGGGGGCGGAACCTGTGAAGCTAAGAGATTACGTAATTGACACAAAATCGACATAAGGTGATAAGAAGACACACAAAAACGTTGCTGATCAGCGCCAAACAGCTCACGGCTTGTTCCAAACCTCCCTCAAGCATTCAATATTGAATGAATGCCCGAAATTAGTTCAATAGACAGCCATCGAGGCAGCCCCAATCGCCCACAATGGCCTTCATCATCCGATTTTTCAGCCCAGTATAATTTTTGCAATTCTGGCTGTTTGTGCTCCTTAAAAGCACCTTGCTATCGTACAGCCTCGTTATGTAATGTTGCTAAGTCATCCTGGCACTGATATAAGGATTGGCGCTAAGGTGTGTGTGTGTTACTGACACAAAAGATAAAGAGAAACAGGTCATACAAATGGGTGGGTGGGTGGGTGGGGCTGGGTTTAGCGTTAAATTGGCGCTAATTGTACCAAAATCGACATAGCGTCTTCCCTTAAAGGGGTTCCCGAGGCATTTTGCTAATTTCACTCAAAGAACCTTCTCTGATGGGTCAACCCAACAAGGCGCCATGGCCTGAGGAGCTGAAACGCTCAATGTGATAAGCAATTTTTCACCGATTGATTGACTGATTGCTGCATTCATACCACACCACCCACTGGCAGGCAGGCCAGCTTCGCCATTGTTCACCCTGCACTTTTAACTAAAGTCAAGTGAACATGGGAATTGGTGGGGTGGTAGTGGAAGAAGGGACACTACAGTTGCGTTTTTCTCCATACTATGGTGCCTAGAGTACTTTGTGAAATGCCGGTATGACTTGCAAATGCTACACCCTTCACATTTGTGCTGAGTTCGATTCAAGGACTTCATCAGGGCCGCCCCGCTTGCGGGGTCGCTGCATAGCCCGATCATACAGGACGAAACTCCCAATCAAGATCTCCCTAGCTTTGGCATACGTTCCCATGTTTGGCAAATGTGTGGAAACCCAGGCCCGTGTTAAGGTCCGTGTGAAGGGATGGTTCCTAATGGCAAATGAAGAGGTATGCACCGACGCTCTCCTCCCAAACGGCACTCCCACCTTTATTCATTCTGTTTCATGCTGGAACTTTCAGAAGAAAATTCTCGCTGACATGCACAAACCTTTCTGGTTGCACAGCGGTTGGCCCCGCGTTATAGCATGTGGTGCAGTCCATTCACCGGCTCAGACCCTGACTAATGACTGCGAACAGCTCCCCATAGTAGTGTCCACGTCCCGACACAAAAGCATCCGTGAAAGTGTCTTGGGAAGGACAGGGCAGCCTTCCCCTCAGGCTGTCCCTGCCGCCACGCTCACCCACGGGCTGCTGTGTGAAGCGCACGGATAGCATCGCAGAGCTTCGGCAGCGGGCTGAACCAACGGGGGCCGCACGCGTGAGCCCTTGCGCGAACGGGGGCATTTGCCGTCATCTTCAATCCTCTCTTGGCTACGTGATCCGAAGCCGGTGCCTTCTCTTGGAGAACAAGAACAAGGTGGGTCGCTTTCCGTGGTCATCAGCGGCACCAGCCGCCTGGCGCCGGGCAAACGAGAGATGAGCTGACGGCCGAGACGCCGCGTCAGCATCTGGTCGGCTTTCGGCGGGCCAAGCCGTTTCCTCAGCACGCGCCTGCGGCGATCTGTCCTCTTTGTGGCTAGATGTTGTCTCTGGCCGATTGTTTGCAACGGATCAATGGGACCTTGTTGACCTGGTAGAGATTTTGTTTGTTGATCACGCAGTCAGAGGCATGGCAGCGGCGGCAGATCCGCAGGTGGGATCAGTCTATGTTTCGAGGCGGTGCAAAATGTTGAAAGATGTATTGTGGAAATGCGACACAACGTTGACATGACTGTCATTTGGAAGGCTGCTACCCTCCACGGCACCCTGCACTGATCCTCTTTGTGTCATGGTCCCTTTGTTGCAAAATGCTCGGCACCAGCCACAGAATGCATCCAGCGCCATTTCCCTCTGTGCCATGCAGGTGCCGATTTCCTGCATGCCCGATTCTCCTTTGCGCTTCGCCCCCTGCCAATTTACACAGTAATGCCATACCCAGCTGCTGTTGACTTGTGGTACTCAACTGGCTCTGGCATTTGTCAGGATGCGAAGGCAGAGGAGGCATCCGATACCCCAACTCTCCGACTGGACTATAAGCCCCCGCCCTACTTCATCGACCAGGTGTCCCTAGACTTTGATCTCGGAAGCGAGTTCACCACCGTCGCCTCCAAGCTGCACGTGGTGCCGAATTATCCCACTGGAACACCACCACCTGCATTGAAGCTTGACGGTGCCCCCGATGTGAGCCTTGACTCGATCAAAGTTTCAGGGACAGACTGGCCGGCAGGTCAGTATGCCGTCGACTCCCGAGGCCTCAAGATCGAGGGACTGCCATCAGGGGAGTTTGAGTTGGAGATCTGTGTGAAAATCAAGCCACAAGACAATACCCTGTTGGAGGGCCTGTACATGACCAGCGGGACGTTCTGCTCACAGGTATGCAATCATTTGTTTGTTACAATTTGACACAAATCAACACATTGTTGCCAATGCATTCCACATGTATGAAGTGCGGTGTGTCCACAGCATTTTCTACCCACACCACGATGCAATGGGTCGTTGAAAGCAGCCGGGCGCAGAATGTTCTCTTGAGATTGGTTGAAATACGACAGAAATCTGCCATTGCATAATGATTGAATGCTTCAATGCACAAAGGTTGCATTGAAGGGGTTGGATTCGTGGGTGTCCCATTCTCCGGCAAAACTGTGGAAAGAAGCACCACATTTCCAGTGGAATGCACTCAATAGGTGGCAAGTGTTTTCCCCTAATGGAGGGCCTGCACAACTGTGGGGCCTGAGAGCTTCGGTTTGTTGTGTGCAAACAAAGTCTCGATGCAATGTGTTTCATGCAGCTCCTGGCAAACCTGTGGGCATTGGTGGTGAAAGTAGCTGAATCTGCCTTCATTTTCTCGTTCGTTCTAACTTCTTCAGTCATTGAGTATGGACAGGAAATTTGCCTTTGTGGATTTTGGTGGACGTCCTTGCGCTCTGTATATTGACATCTGTTTGCTGGCAGTGCGAGGCAGAAGGATTCCGTCACATCACATATTTCCTGGACCGTCCTGATGTGATGTCGAAATACCATGTTCGCATTGAAGCGTGCAAGGAAAAGTACCCTGTTCTATTGTCAAATGGCAACCTTGTGGAGATGGGAGATCTCGCTGATGGCAGGTGACAACGCTGCTCATCCAGTTTTTTTTTTGAACCTGCTAGCTGTGTTTTGAGCTGTTGCCTGCCAGTCTGCACCATATTGTATGTGCTAAATGTGGCAACCTGGCCCGGGAATGTCAACGTTGACTGGTTTACAAACCTGTTTCATTGTAAGCTGAGAGTCCTGTTTGGGAGCAAGCTTCCTTGGCAGCACTCCTGCAGGCAGGGTGGCATCTATCCAATCTTTTTATCATTTCTCATATGAAATTGCGTTCGAAATGGTCGCTGCTGTTGAAGTGAGTTAAACTTTCAACCTTGGGTGCAAGGAAGACTATTGCATATGCTCACTTGACTGTGAGCTCTGCAGTGGGAGGCAATGGATTGGTGCATAGTGATCGGACATCTTCCAAATACCTCCACTTGGGCAGCTGGTGGAGCAGGAGACTTGATGACGTTTTCTGTTTTCAAGTCACTGACGGCTGTGCATTTCCAGGCACTTCACTGTTTGGGATGATCCCTTCCCAAAACCTTGCTACCTGTTTGCCCTGGTAGCTGGGGATTTGGCCAAGCATGAAGATAGCCACACCACCAAGTCAGGCAGGAAAGTGAATCTGCGCATCTTTGCACAGGTGGGTGGACAGCCCTGTTCACATTAATGCAGATGGACTTCGATGTGGCACATGTATTGGCGATCAACCAGCAGAGCTCAGAGACAGAAATATCGTCTAATATTGTTCATCTGGATAACCTCTGTTCTGATCAACAAGAACAATACGTTGGTGCAGGCACACAACATGCACAAGGTGGAGTTCGCCATGCAGGCGCTCAAGCATGCAATGAAATGGGACGAGGACACATTTGGGCTGGAATACGACTTGGACCTGTTCAATATTGTGGCCATAGATGACTTCAACATGGGTGAGAATTTTGTGGTAGTTATGGTGGCTAAATGCAAAGAAAATGTTTCACAATTCGGGCGCTCACCTCCACATTGGCGATTTTCATAGTCTTGCTTGTGCAGCAAATTCTGTGTTGAGACCTTCAAGTGCATAAGGAACACCTGCAACTATGGGCACTTGCACACGAGAGCAAGCAGGCCAACAATATGTGTAAATCACGGCGGCTTTTCACTGTTTGGCAGCTTGTTACAAACTGGATTCCTGATGAGCAAGCACAAACATGTAATTGGAAGCCTGTACAGGCAGGTGTCTGCAAAATATATCAGGAGTATTGGTGTTCAAAGAGTAGGCATCATTGCTCTTTTCCTATGGTGTTGTATTTCATTGTCAAATGCATGAACACAATGACAAGGTTAGAAATTCTGTGCATTTGTTGCTGAATCTGTCCGTACTGTGCTCAGATCGGGCATCAGCATTTCTTGCCACGTACAAAGACATCACAACGCTTGACAGAAAATGCACCCCAACCATCACCTCACAATGTGCAACATGGCAAGGATCTGACTTAGATAATCAAGGAATTGTTTAAGGGCAAGCCAACCATCACCTCACAATGTTAAACATGTGAGGATCTGCCTTAGATAATCAAGGAATTGTTTGAGGGCAAGCCATAATGAAAGGTGGATGGTGAAGGTCTGCTTTGCCTTTTGACTGCATTGGCCACAATATGGCAAGACCCGATATGCCCTGTATGCTCTCACTGAGATGATGAGTGTGTTTTCCATCCTCGTTCTTGTCCCCAGAATGTGCAGCAGTGTCTCACACAGTCCCCCTACATAAGGGGATGGAAATTAATTGACAACATATTGAAGCAGATTGCACAGAATGGAAAGAGGACAAATGTACGCTGCATGGACTGATGTTGGAGCCTCTGTGCATGCATGCAGGTGCCATGGAAAATAAATCGCTGAACATCTTCAACTCAGTGTGCATATTGGCCTCAGTGGACACCGCCACAGATGGCAACTTTTTTACCATCCAGGAGGTCGTGGGCCACGAGTACTTCCACAATTGGACTGGCGATCGCGTGACCTGCAGGGACTGGTTTCAGCTGACACTGAAGGAGGGCCTCACAGTCCACAGGGAGAGGGTATGGATGGCAGACTTGGAATTTGTGGCACCAGTTTCCATGTTGACAGGGCTGAAGTGTCAGTTCTGGCGTGTCAGTTTTTTTGTTATGAGCTAGATTGCTCTTCCTTGCTGAAGGGATAGATATGGTAGAAGTGGTTGGATGCTGATGTTTAGAAGATGGTATGTGTGGATGTGACCTACCAAGCAAGGTAGTAGGAAATAAATCACTGCGATCTCGCCATTCGTTGCTGAATAATGACAATAAGACAATGTCATGTTGTTGTGGGTCACCACAATATCTTGAAGTCGTGAAGTCAACAGCATCAGGAGACGATGGTGCGCATCTGGCCCCAAATCGCAACATCCAACGCTCGTTGCTCACTGAATAGTGTTTCCCGTCATGCTTCAAAATACACAACTATTATTCTATGAACATTGGCCAATCTGTCACCCAGCTTCGGCATCGATGTGGCTGAATCCAGCTGATGAGTTTGCGGTTTAGGTTTTCATTTGCATGGTGCTCATGGTCTGGTGGTTCTAGTTCACATGGTGCTGAAGGATTGCACACAAGCAAGGCTTCACTTATGGGCTTGGCAGTTGGAACTGCTTATGCCTGGTCATTGCCAGTGTCTATGTTGTGGGAGGGTTGTTTTGATGCTGAGGTTGGTGAGACAAGAAAATTTTTTGATAGCTGCTTGACTGGGAGTGTCACTGATGGCAGCAGTGGTGTTGATGCTGCTGCTGCTGCTGAAGGTTCAGGGCAATCCTTTGTAACTTACCCAAAAGAGTTGACAGTTGCTGTAGCAAAGATCTCAATATTGATTGTGTTGCACCACAGGAGTTTGCTTCAGACATGAACTCTCGCGCTGTGAAGCGTATCAAGGATGCAGACCTTGTGCGATCGGACCAATTTCCAGAAGATGCTGGACCTATGGCACACAGTGTGCGGCCAGAGTCGTACATAAAGATCGACAATTTCTACACGTCGACAGTTTATGAGAAGGTAGATTCCAAACTGCGTCACGGCAGCAAGCAGTATTCCATTGTGATCACCTGGCGTCTCAGAACGCCTCGGATATCTTGGGATTCAGAACATCTTGGAATGTATTGAGACACAATGTTGAAGTGTTTGTGTTGGGGTCAAGTGCAGTGTCTCAACTCCTGTTCTCCAGCAATGTGCTTTGGGGGCCAGGAGAAAGGGGACAAAATTCTTGATGGGAAATTGTGGTTCGACACAACCAGGTTTTGGTGTCTCAGAACCGGTGATCACACAAAGATACCATTTTAGCAACTGGGCCTGTGTCCTAGAGCATCCAATCCACAAGGCACTTTCGAATCACAGAAAGCTAAACAAGGGTAAAACAAGTTAATGCTTTCCAGTTTGCCCCCGTTTTCTGCCCACCTGCACCCCAAATTTCCCTTGTTCCATCGCCACCATGTGGTATCAACTAAACGGCAGATGTGCCCATGTTGGTTGCATTTCATAGAATCTGAATTGAGAGTTGCTGTGGCACCTACCCTGTCACTGATTCAGGAAAATAGAAGGCGATTTGGATGCATCTTGCACATTTCGAACTCTGTTCCTTAGTTTTGCATTTGCACCTGTAGAAGTGCAAAGCTCAGCCTGCTACTGCAGTACATTTTTTGCTGCTATCACATGAATGAGCAATGTTGATTATTATGATAATATTGATTATTATGATTATGTTGACTCGGAAGACAGCAAGTTCAGTTCATTGCATCAGACATTTGTTCTCTGTTCAAAAGGTGGTCTTGTGTGCATTCTTCACATTGGCACCTGCTATTTCTGCACAGGGTGCCGAAGTCATAAGAATGTACCAGACTCTCCTTGGCAAGGAAGGATTCCGGAAGGGCATGGATCTGTATTTTCAGCGTCACGATGGCCATGCAGTTACCTGTGACGATTTCTTGGCGGCGATGGCAGACGCGAATGGCAAAGACCTCACGTCATTTGCTAAGTGGTACTCCCAGGCTGGCACGCCTGTTCTGACGGTCACTCCCTGCTACAGTGAGGCAGACAAGACCCTCACGCTGAAAATGAAGCAGGTCGTGCCGCCTACGCCTGGCCAGCCCACGAAGGAGCCAATGCTGATTCCAGTATCTGTGGGCCTCCTCTCTGCAGATGGGAGTGATCTACCTCTGAAACTCCAGGTGGGGACTCTCATCCAGCCAGCCTGCTGCTTGCCGCGCTGAATTCATGGAAGCCACCTGTGGCAGGCAGTGCAAGAGAAAATTCACAGGCCAAATTGTTGGTTCAGAGCATCAGCACAAGAATCTACTGCACAAACCCTGTCTGGCCTGATTCTGGTCTGCCTGTCCCACTGGAGTGCTGAACTCCTTTTCTTGAGACTGAACATTTATTTCGTGTAAGCAGTGTTTGGTGCTTTACATCACCATGCATTTTCTTGTGAGGTGGCACATGGTCCCTTCCT